TGGTCTCATCGGTCCTCTTCTACCTCAGCGCTGCCATCAACCCTCTGCTGTACAACCTGATGTCCGCCAGGTACAGACACGCTGTGCGTAGCCTCATGCACACGCACTGTCACACACCGCCTCACCGACTGCGCAAAACGCTCGCATCACAACACCCCACAGCCAATCTGTAAACACATGTACACACACACACAACAACAAGAGAAGAAACACAAGGCAGGTGTAAATAAAACTGTGAGTGGTTCACGTGGTGTCAGAATATTATAATATCTCTGAGAGAGAGAGAAAAAGTTTCACATAAACAGAGTGAAAATTGATAAAGTCAAAAAGAGTAAAAACATTAAATTAATGAAATCATAAATTAAGACTCATTTCATCACCAGAATAATTCACACGCTAAATGATTCACGTGTTGTGCACAACACAACCCAGTCTCCGGTGTTTACGTACAACATGTTGCACAATCTGGTCTTATAGGAATTTTTACATTTTAACTTTTGTTTCCTATTTTTGTATTTTTTATATTTTTACTTGCACAAATACACAACATCAAAKTCTTTGTATGTTTAAACCTGCTTGGCAATAAAACCTGATTCTGTTGACATGTTAACTCCTGTTGTCGACTTGTGACATATTTAAATATGGAGAGAGACTAAACTAAAACTGTGTTAGTTGATCAGAGCCATGAATTCTGTATCTATATTCAGAAGGACACACACAGGTGGATGTTACTGTCCTTGTTATATTTATTCACAACATTTATAAWATTTATGTACAAAGGGGGGAAGGGGGTGAGGGGTTTGTTGACTGGGTTGTACTGGGAGGCAGGGGGAAGGAGGGGAGGAGTGGGTGAAGGTAGAAGGGTGAGAGGCTTCAGGACAAACGTCCCCTCATCCCTCTCTTCTTTGTGTAATGATTTGTCTGYTGGTTCAGAAGTTTGTCTTCGTCCTCCACCTTCACCGTCTCCAGCTGCTCCACCTTTCTCCTCCACTTCCTCTCAACACTCTCCATCTCGTTCTCCGTCTCACTCAGCTTCTCCACACACACCAGGTATGACTGTGTGGAAGCTCGTCTCTCATCTTGGCAGGACCGAACTACTTTTCCCCTCCAGGCAAAGTCACTCCCACCCATTAGTCGACTATTGCCATTGATAGCTCTGTGGTAGTCCACACCCAGATTGCCAGGAACCAAACAGTCAACTCTCCCTCACTGCCAAGTTACCGCAACAACCGGCTTGTGCAGATTCATGCTGCACAACATCAGGAAAATACGTCCTCTTCTCACTCAGACGGTGGCACAGGTTCTTCGTCCTCCACCTTTCTCCTCCACTTCCTCTCAACACTCTCCAGCTCCTTCTCCGTCTCACTCAGCTTGTCCAGGCGCACCAGGTATGATTGTGTGGAAGCTCGTCTCTTTGTCTCTGTCTTCATCAGCTCGTCCTTATCTAACACGTTCTCCTCCAGCTTCATCACTCACTTCTGAGTTCGTGAACTTGCTCCTTCAGAGACATGTTTTATTTTTTGAGGGCCTCCACCTTCCTGCAGCTCAGTCTCTCACTTGGAGTCGTCTTGCTGCAGCTTCACCTCCAGCRTCTCTACCCGACTCTTCTTCAGCTCCTTTTCTTTGGCAGTGAGTGTGACCAGGCAGTCGATATAGAACGTTGGTACAAGTTCTCCTTTTCTATTGTGGCTCAGTGATTTAAAAATGTGAGAATAGTGAGGAAGGTCTGAAATGTTACTGTGTTGATATTGAATATGTGMGTAGAACAGCTTTTAGTGTGAGTATGTGCAGTACACGTGTGTATTCAGAGTTCACAGTGTGATACATGCATGTTTACGTGGTTCTAAATATGTTCCTGTGTGTTTTTCTCTGTTGCTCTGATTAGACCATTCCCCTCACAGGAAATCCATCAGTGTGCGTCAGCTCTGTGGAACCTGAGACACACACACACACACCTCTCCCCTGACGTTTTCTCCGTCCTGCCCCACCCTGAGTCGCCATTGGTCAAATGGCRGATGGAAATGCGAGCGATGCAGATACAAACAGTAGCATGCTAAGCTCCCAGTTATTTTATGTGTTAGGTGGGTATACAGAACAATGGTGATGATACTGTAGACGATTTAAAATGATGCAGCCAGCTGCTGTCCTTAGTTAAACAAATATTAAAAAACAACTTCAATTTCATCTGAAGGAAACAGACAGAACATTCAAACATTTACCTCTAAAAACTAATTAAAACATTTATTAAATTATTACAATCTCAATTACAGTTGAGATGATTGTACAGTAGATAGAAAGCAGCTGCTTAGCTTAGCAAAAAGACAGGTTTGTCCTCTTGGCCTGATTTTATAGTAGTTTAAGAAAGAAAACCGAACAAGATTCTGATCACATTTTATTTTACATTTGTGATTCTAATGAAGATCAATCGTCATTATTTCTTTTTCTAGTGTGTGTGAGTGTGATTTACGTTTCACTGATGCTCTTCGGCGTTCTTGGAAACACACTGACAATTCTGKTGGTTTGGCTTCGCCCACACATGAGAAGCTCCACCTACCTCTACCTGAGCAGCATGGCTGTTAGTGACCTGCTGATCCTCCTGCTGCTGCCTCTGGATCTATATACGGTGCGATCACATATATACTATAATACTTATACACCTTGTTGTTGCACTTCACTGTGGTTTAACCAGATGCTGATTGTCTCTTCCAGCTCTGGAATCAATGGCCCCTAGGAGACCTCGTCTGTAAGCTGACCATCTTCCTCGTAGAGTGCTGCACCTTCTGCACCATCCTCCACATCACCTTTCTCTCCCTGGAGAGGTACCTGGCCRTCTGCTGGCCAATTACTGCTAAGACGCTGGTGACACGGYGCAGAACCAGTGCTCTGATTGGCTGCCTCTGGCTGGGAGCGGCYGTCAGTGCAGCGCCAKTGTTSGTCATGGTCGGAGAAGATCAGTTTAAASAGTGCCTCATCACAGACTCTGCCTTCGCCTCTGGCCTCCTGTTGGCCATGATAATTCTCTCCAGCCTGTACGTCCTGGTACCCATGTGCATCCTGGGACTGGTCCACAGCCTGATTGGACGGACTCTGTGGCTCCGTCCACAAAGCAGGCTTAAAGACCAGAGTCGCCGACGAACAGTCAAGATTCTGGGTGAGAAACACACTCTCCAACACACACACCCTCAGGTTCAGAATTTAGTGTCGTAGCTGTATCATCAAATGACGAATCCAAACTACATTTACCAGAAGAAGAACTCACCAGTGTTATAACAACCTCCTAAAATGACAGAAACCATCGTTGAGAAATAATGTATTTGACGTGTATTTTGACTTTTTAGTTTGGTCCCGTCTGTTAACATCAAGGAGGGCAAGGTTTATGACCTGCAGCCAGCCACCAGGGGGCAATCTAGATGCTTTGGCTTCACTTTTGGGGAGCAGTCACGTCGTCCATCTTTATTTACAGCTGTCTCAATCATAGACTGCACATAAAGAGGTCTCTGTTCAGGGGCTGCATCCTCTGGAGGCTGAATGCTTCACAGCAGCGCGACTGGAAAAGGCTCCTACGTCCTTTCATCCCAGAGAAAGCTCTGACGACTGAATCCCTGCAGGTCCAACATTTCCCAGGATTCATTGCACTTTGGTGACGAACCATATCAACCTAACTAACGGCTAACATGTTTAAAAACCAAGGGGCAGTAAGCTTTCTGTTGAGTCCAACTTAAGGACAGGACGAATTCTCCTTTGGGACCAGACGTCTCATTTTGTTTCAGCCTTCACAGTCCACCTGACCCAGGAAGGAGGTGGGTCGTGTAGGTCCTCCGAAGAATGCAGCCAATGAACGGAGACACAGCTCTCATGTTTAACAGTGTAGAGAGGAATGTATTCTAATAGCTGCAGGTATTGATGATTCTCATGTCCACTTCCTGTGTCCTTCTC